AAAGGATAGATCAGAGAAATTGAAGACCATGGCGCAAGGAAGAGGAAGAAGAAAGGATACTTTTGGTATTTTTTTGTGAATTTTGGTTGAGGAATGGCCAAGTTATGATTTTTTGAAGTTTAGAGTGTACCTGCAAGTTGGGAGTGAACCGGTGGTGAATCAAAAAAATCCGAGTCTGTGGCGTCAAAGAGGAGAAAAAATGAGTGATTCTGGTATTTTTTTTGTCGATTTTGGTTGAGTTTTGACTGAGTTGTGGTGTGTTGAAGGTTTAGAGGGGGGTGATGTCCTTTTTTGATTGTGGTGAGTGGTTTTCTTGTTTGGTGCCTGCAGGAAAATTTTCAAAGTTCATGCAGGCACTTGTGGTACGCGCGCGCGGCCCCTGAGGCAAACTTATGCATATTTTATGCATAATTAATAAAACCACGTGTACACGCAGAATCCGCGTGTGCTGTGCCGCAGCAAAACCGCGTGTAAATGCGGATTTACCGCGTTTTTTTATTAACACCCTTTTTATTAAGGCCCTAATTAAAATTCATTTTTATGCAAAATTATTTTTACCATCAAATTCCACACCTTTTGAAGTGTAGGAAACAATTTTAAAAATTCAAAAAAAACTCAAAAAATAAGTGGTAAAAAATTAAATATAAAACCGTGTGTAAATTCGGAAACCCCGTGCGCTGTGCCGCAGCAAAACCGCATGTAAACGCGGAAAAACCGTGTTTTTTTATTAATTCCCTTAGTAAAAGACGGCAATTATTCAACTATGATTCTCCTTTATATATTTCATTTCATTATGTTTTGTCAGAGAATTCACAGTGGCCTGATTATGTTTTAGGTTAGGAAACCTGGGTTGGAGGTCCGGGTCAGCTAGCCTACTGGTGTCACACACGTACATCTGGGTCAACAAACCCCTGGAGAACAACTCCCCACAAAATTTCAAGTTTCAGGTTAGTGATCACTAAATTTAGTGACTGCAAACCTGAAATCAAACTTTTGGTTGACTAACCCATTGCTAACCTCAAATCAATGCAAGTGTGCAAATAGGCTTGGTTGGGTTAACTCACCTTAACCCGGCAATTTACTCAACCAATGTGAATGCTCTTAGCTTGTTTCCCAATCTCTTTCTTCTATCTTGTTTGACCTTTCTTGTTCTTTCACTTTTCTTTCTTTTCTTTCTTATCAAAATATCTTTGTTCTTATTTTCTCATTATTGTTGAGATGCTTGTATTGGGTGTATGCTTCTAACTAGTTGTATATAGCTCAGCATATCTCTCATCACATTTTCCTTCCTAACTGAATCTAAAACATATTTATCTTAGTGATTGTCTCACCTGTCACAGATAGTCAGTGACCATCAGTCTCACCTCCCTGTGTCTGTCTCAACAATTATCAGACAAAACATTAAAGATTTACAAAATAAATACTTATTACTATGTAGTTCCTCAAGTTGCCCATTCAAGAAGTTAATCTTTCATTAGTTAGCTTGCCTCTATACCTCTTAATATAGATGATAATGCCTCTTGGAATTATTTGTAGTCATTCGAGAAAAGAGAGAGATAGTTGGTGCCTCACAGGGGGGCCAGTCAATATAAAATCAGATTAGGAGACCAATTTTATCAGTCCCCTCCACTTGACTTGACCATAGGGAGCTGTTACCAATGCAGCCCCTTTTGCAGTTGGGCACCACCTGTGAGAAGACCCAGACTATTGCACACTTTATGTATTATCCAATTAGAGGTAGCCACGCCGGTGGTTATGTACCCCTGCACCGGCAGAGTTGTACCTTTGCTACAGAATGACATTTCTGAGGCCATCCGCCGTCTACTTTTTCTTTCAAAAAGTACATTTGTTCAAAGAAAGAAAGTGTTGAAAATGAAACTAAATAAGAGAAACAAAACTCAAAATAAGAAACGAGATCTTGTAGGCAGAGTGATTTTAATTTGTGTTGGAGTTGAAGAAGCTTGTCCCGAGTGAGGTGGTGGGCAGAAGAAGAAAACCCGATGTTGGCCGCGCGACCGGATTATTGCGGTTTCCAGATATTCCTGGTCATTAAAAACAAGATTCTGGTCGACTTCCAGATTAGAGAAGAACACGTTCAAGTCCGCTCTACCCGTCTCTCATATGCTGAAAAAGCGGAAATGTTTTTAGATCAGCGTGTTTCTGTACCAAAGAAACCCGAAGCAGATAGGTAAGCATTGAAGAAACTCTAGTCTTACGATTGTATTGGAGTAATTTTTCGATCAAATCAACATGTGTCAGGACCATTCGTCTGCAACAATATCGCTTCAGTCCGACCGCATCCATCGCGTCACTAATCAAGAGAAAAAAAAGAAAGGAAAAGCATCAGTTCACGAGCGATTGAGTGTTGACTCCTTAGGTTTGATTTTGGATGAAAACTCGAACCCTTCACTCAATCCGTGATCTTGAATGATGGACAGGAAGAGCTCCCAAACGTGTCCCACGACCTTGCCGCACGAGAAGCATCTGATTGGGATGATCTAGAGAAACCACACAGAAAGCGAGGACAGGCCATCAATATTATTCGAACGGTGATTCTTGGTTTTGTTGATTGAAATTGACCATTGATGTATATTCCTTGATGAACTTGTATATGTGACGGTGCGTATCCAGAGAGGTGCCGTGGTTGAGGAACGTGAATGGCTTCTTGGAAGTGGATGGGACTCAGCACGAGGTGAAAGACCCCCGGGGTAGCGATGCTCCAAATCCCATCCAAAATTCAACTGATGGCTTACATGCATATATGCAAAACACCACCGGCTGCCAAATATCAAGGGGTTCGTTCGGCGGGCAAAACTTGAGAACTACCGGCCTACCGACATTTTCCTATTTTGACGCAAAGCAGTCTTCTCATCAGCCTCAAGCCAAAAAAAAGAACAAGTACGACGATCCGCGATGATTTCTAAACCCATTTGGTCGCTCTCCCGACTCGCCGTTCGCTCTCGCATCCCACTTCCGGCGACTCTACCAGTCCGTGCCTCACCTTCGCTTCGATCCAGCCCACAAGCTTCCTCCCTAATACTGTCTGCTCAAAGGCATTTTTCTGTTGGTTCAATCAGCCGCTCTTCAGGGGAGAGTAAGTCAAGGCCACCATTATTCTTTTTGAAAATATTTTCAACATACTGATCCTTCATCTGATGACTCTTGTTTTTTTTTATCAGCTGATTCCCAACTGGTCAACAAGCTTGAGGCAGAGATCGGTTACGAGAAGGATGCTGGTTCCACTGATCCGCCCCAGTGGCTTAAAGAATTCCAGGCGGACGGTACATTCAAAGTAAGCTTCATAGTCTTATGTATAAGGAACTACATTCTTGTATTTGCGAGCTGTCAAGAAGTAGTAAATCATTGTTTGGTGAGACTGATTTAATTTAAATCTGCCACAGATTACCGATAAACCTGGTTCTGATGAGATCGTCTTGACCCGCACATTTGGAAACGAAAAGTAAGTGAACAGCTAGAGATGGACATCGACACAAAAGCTAATCTTAAATCTCCATTTCGATAGCATTCGAATCACCTTCTCATGTTCGGACTCGGAGACCAATGAGATGGACGACGAGGGGCTTGAGGTGGAGGAAGAAGAGGATGACAAGGATGCGATTGGAAGCTGCCGAATCCGTACAGCCATCAGTATCATCAAACCTGGAAAGGGCGGTATGGTTATCGATTCCTCAACGGATGGTGAGCGTCGTCAATTGAGAATTACCTCCCAAGCACTGGCTGATAGTCGTCCCGATTTTTCAGGCTCTACCTTTGACGTAGATAATGTATCATTCTATGATGATGAGAAGCTGGCACTTGATGAATCGTATGAGAGCGATTGGAAACGAAGAGGTCTCTACTTTGGCCCCACGTTCATCGACCTTGATGAAGAACTCCAGCAATCCTTTACCGACTATCTAAACGAGCGTGCCATTGGAAGCGAGCTAGCAGCGATGTGAGTTGATATATACTTTGGTAGGTCACACTGGGTTACTCATATGCTCTTCTTTGCGTGCCGTTCCTTTTCAGTATTCTGGACCTGGCCGATCATAAGGAACAAAAGGAATACGTCAACTGGCTCGGCAAAATGAGCAAGTTCATCAAGGCTTGAACACTTTCATTTACCAAATACATGGGCTCAATATATGCTCCAATGCCAGAGTGTATTCGGAAACTGTTGACTGTAGTAGATGAACCTGATGAAAACAACAGATAAAAAGAAATAAAATAATCATCTATTTTTTATACCATTTACCATTGTTGTTAGACTCTTGAAGACTGCGTCTAATTGAGCCATGGATCATCACAACCCAAGGGATACAATGATCAACAGAGAGCATCATGATATCTGTGTCACTGAGCCGACGCCAGGTACCAATTCCAGTGATGTGTAAACCCAAACTTCCCCACGGTTGTTGGTATCTAAACATTGAGGAGAAAAAAAAAGAAAGCCGATTCCGAGGTGCCAAAACCTTTGGCGGCGATCAAGGTGCTCAGGGAGGCAAGCCATCGCAGAGAACGGCCACCCAAATCATCGGCTGGTTTAAAAAGTGACTCTCCGTCCGGCAATTGAACCCGGGTCACCCGCGTGACAAGCGGGTATACTGACCTCTATACTAACGAAGACCGTGGGAAAACGACGTGTTTCCGAATTTATAAACACGTTTTCCATAATAGCTCAACTTCGGCTTGAAATTCCTCCCGGTCACACCACACCCACCATGATCCCATGAGTCAAGCCTATCACCATCCAAGAAAGAACACGGTTCCATAGCCGAGACCCATCCAACCATGGACCAGCCATCATCGCGGACGAATTTGCCGAGCTCGAGCTCAAAGGACCAGACTCGATCACAGATCATTGGCAGCTTTTGGATTGTGATCATCCTCAGTTTACCAGTATGGTGGAACACGACCAAGATTGAAAGACAGACTCTACCCAGATCGGAAGTCGAAGCATGGGATGCTCGCAAGGTCTGTGTGGTCTTACCGTCAATCTCTTTCACATCCAACACAAACAAACAATAGCCCTACTGATCACTTAAATTATTCGTCCAGTATAGTCATGTCCGATTCGATTCCCTATCAAACTTACATCAAACTCACCCGAAATCACCTCTGTCTCCATGCAATCACAAGTTCAGAGTTTGGCGTCCCGTTTGGAAAGTGGAGGGAACCAGTACCATGATTCGATCGACATCTTGACTGCCAGATGCTTTGATTTCCACGTCGATTCATCCCCGCACTCAGGTTCTGGAAATCGTGGTCAGCACTTCATTTTAAAGGTAGAAAGAGACACAAGAAAGTACAATCCTGCTGTTGATCCCAACCGCTAAACTTCTCTTTTTTATTCTTGCTGGCAGTTATCCTTCATCGATCGCCTTCCGATATACAGAACCACACTCGAAATTTTGCCTTCCAGAAAGACATCGAAATCACACTGACAAGTCTGTTAATTATAATTCCCTTTAATTGAAAAAATTGGTTTAAAGGTTCAAACTGACAAGCTTTCACATCACTTCCCAACCAGCAAGCGATAAGCCCAAGGAATTGCTTCGGTTTATTGCCCCACTTTCCAGCTCATCATCTTCTACACAAGCCACCGACTCACGTGTCATCAAATACTCTTCTCAGTTAAAGCTTGTCTTTAGTCTCTTGAATGAAGATTGTACCCAATCAGGTTTTATTCGAAGTTGGAGCATTAAACATGCCATCGAACGTTAGTTATTCTTTGAGCAGAGTATTAGTCCTATTAATCGGTCGAGCTTTGAAACTGATACATTAAGAATACCCATTTTTCTTTTTTTTTCTTTCGGTTTTAGTTTACCTCGAAGACCTTTTGGCAAGTTTCGCACCTCTGCATAACTTGACATGTCAAACCCAAATATTGCAACATTCCCCACTAGCGTTCGAACCGACTGTAGTAGCAAATGGAGATCAGACCACATATGTGGTTGAACAAGAAGAATTAAAAGCATTCATCAATGACGCGGATTGGAACCTTGGTACGCCACCACCTAATATGTATGACTGATCTTCCAGTTATAAGCCTCTCCTAATCTGACGGGATGATTTTGACTTGTTTCAGCCTCTTCGGTGACCATGGAGCCTGTCATAAATTTTGTGCTCTGGGTACCTTCGCCTAACCACAGACCATTCAAAATTCGACGAACGGATGGTAAGCAACGTTTGTCTATCTACAATCCGATCGAATTTCTGCTCATTCCATACGACATAACAATTTTCGATCAACCCATCAAAAAGGCACCTTTGACTCCGATGGCAGTTTCATTAGACCGCAATGGGGAAGTGTGGTGATTTATAATCCTGACGAGAAGAGTATGAGCAGCGATGGAGTGCCTCGGCTGGGAGTAACCGAGCTTGCCCGACCGATGCAAATCTTTCGACACCATCTACTCAGTCTTTTAGGTCTCGTCGACAACCTCGAAACTCCTGAACAACGTGCACTTGCGCTCGATGCCATCGTGAGACGTCGGATTGTAGAGAACAGTCTCGAGGCGATCAACTCGATGCAAGTGATCGTTAAACTAGTCGACGATCAAACCAACATGAGGGTTTCTATGGAAGTGCAGAACCAAGTGAAAGGAGCTCTAGCAAGTCTCAAGTCTGTAAGTTAATTTAAATCTCTCTAGAGATGAAGCTGTCGCAAGGTTATTCATCTTTTTTTGCACCTTTTATGATTTCAAATATACCGGAAACAGGCCCAGGAAGAGCTCATGAAAGCAGAAGGATCATTATGGATGGCCGCGCTTCACGCAGATGAATCGAAGACCTTATCGTCAACTGCCTTCTTCAGTCCAACCATGCTCTCCTTACTCTATTTCCCAGACGAACACAAATACGCTATCTATACTCCCCTCTTCGGCCCTGTACTTGTTCCATTAGTCATCGCTTTGATCAAAGAATTAAAGTCTCGTCGCAAGAAAAAATCATTGAAAGAGAAGGAGGAATAAATTTTTCTTTTGTTGTTAATTATGAAGAAAATTTACAAGACATCTACTGGAAGTGTTTGTCTGATTGTTGGATGGGTTGAGAGAAGCCAGGACCGTCATTGCTAACCTTCTCCTTCTACTTTCACGTGGACACAACTGTAACCTGAGTGACTCTCGCAATGCTTTTTAAGCAACGCACTGTAGATAAGGAGTGGAGAAGAACGTCCGCTCGGTTTGTTTACTGTGTGCAAGTTACTTGCTTCCTGTTCCTGATCACCAGATTCTGCTGATAAATGTTTTTTTGGCCACTGGACCGCCTTGCATCTTTGTTGTTGAACATTGCCTGTACATATGTGTAAAAACATTTGAGGAAACTACTCTCAAAATTTAATCCACTCACTGGGCATGTGTTTTGTTGCAGAGTTAATAAAATCTCGAATTATCAACTTGTAACTGTTGAATAACCCCACTCCTCAAATTTTCATTCAAATTTCCATCAAATTCCAAACTTTTGGTATGAATATAAATAGAAGCTATGGTTGTGCAGTGCATAGAACAACAAATTGCCAGAAGAATGCAATCCGGCCTCGAAAATCCTCAATTGCTCAAGTTGTAGGGTAGGTAACCCCAGCATGAACCTCAATGATGGGTGGTCTTTCCTAACTCAACGAAGCCCGAACGTAACAACTAACACAAGTCCCCGGGCTCTGCTTAAAGAGAGAGCCTTTGATAAGCTCGGCTTTGCCTGCTAACTGAACTAAATCCCACGATGGTGTCCTTCGGGGGGACTTGAAAACATAGTTGGCGAGGTGATTGGATAAGCTGATAGCCTGCAGGGTTTTTCGCTGGTTTCTTGTTGAGGAAGAAGCAGACACTAAGCTGAGTTATCTCAAAAAGCAAGTCATGGCTTGTCAAGGAGACGATAATGTTTGTTGCCTATCAGCGTCATCATTCCAACCACGTTAGCGCGTCCGTACTAAAGCTGGCCCCGAGCCCTGGTATGACTTGACTTCTCTCAGCGAAAGCATGGCCTTTCCCTGGTGACACGCGGCAACAGACTCAAACAACCTGGTGTCGATACTTATAATTCGGTACTCTAGCTGCCAACAGACTACGTGCGTCGGTTGATAGCCTTTGCCGGTTCATACTTCGAGAGTCGAGGTCAGCTTCAAGCTTGTTGGTAATATGATGAAGGCAACCTTGGAAACCAAGTGATGTTGACTACGTTGAGCTCTCGATGAGACGGGCTTGGGCACAACAAAAAAGTACTCGTCAGCACCAGCTGGTTGTCGTAGGTGACTGATAAGACTACACACAAGATGAAAACGAAGAGAATTATGATGGAGTCGAAGGACGGGAGTTCCTAACTTCCCCCATGCATCCCACCTTAGCGTCCTTCTCCGACTCTTCGCAATTCACCTGACCTGAATTCGACTCTATCCTACTACGCTGGCACAGTCTTCAATGAACTGGGCAATAAGTAATTTGCACTGAGCTGTTCTCCTCCCCCCCCCCCCCCCCCTCCACTGCCGCCCAAACAATCCTTGGCCATCATTCATTTGTCCAACTTTTCGTTTCCCCTCCTACATCATCTATGTCAACCCGTTTGCCCTACCATCGCACGCCAACCTCTCGTCAGACCCATTTATCCCCTTTGAGGATCAACCCTCATGAACATTCACTGCGGTAAGGCAATACATCCACAACCATCAATCATCAATCATCGCCTTCGAATAAGCCGCTCGGTGAATCTCTTCAGGCTCGTCTCCACCATTTCAACAAAAGCAAAGAAGAGGCCACTTCAATGCGTCAGCTGAAATCTGCTCATGTAGTTTTCAGCCTTTTCTTGTTGACGAGCAGCGTATGCTCCTCAGAAAACAACCTCTGCCAGTGCGGCGAGCCTCAGTTTGAGGGTCGAAATGTTGATAACAACATTGTCGACCCGCATAAACGTATTATGACCGCACCTGAGCAGCCCAACACCAATGTCCAACCAGTTTCCCAGGAAATCCCAACTCCTGCCGGCGACGAACTACCGCCCGGCGGTGTTTCCTCAGGGGGATACCAGCCTTCTTCGCGGGGATCTCCAACCTTGAGAAGTACATCATCCACTAATGAGCTTCCTCCGGGAGCAAACACCTCTGAAAGCAACCCTCTTCCTGTTCCTATACCCAAACAATCTGGCGGACCTCCCTCAGCCTCGACCGGATCTCCCAACTCTCAAGCACAGCTTGATCCCGGTGTGAGCGGTGCTTCAAGTAGCGTTCCAGATCCTACTCTTTCTCCGAGTGCGTCATCGAACAAGAACGGAACTGATTCGGTAGCTCCAGGAGCCTCTGCTCCAGGACACCAAACCGGCACTGAGGCTCGCATCAACGGCTCAGCCACTTCCCCGGGTTCATCTTCGGCTTTGTTTCCCGGTTCATCTTCGGCTACATCTCCTGGCTCATCTCCTGGCACATCTTCGGCTTCATCTCCTGGTCCAATTCCTGGTTCATCTGCCGTTTCATCTCCTGGTTCAACTCCAAACCTGACATCAAATCCCACTCCCTCGAACCCATCGTCTTTGCCTCCCAAGCAGACATCCACCCTGTAAGCTACTCACTATCTCCTAGATAGATTTCTGACCTTTCTCGCTTTAATTTATCACGGATGGTGACTGAATTCCCGATCGCGGTGTAACTCTTTGTGCATTCCAGTCCAGCTTCAGCTGAAAAATCTCAGGGAAGTCCCGGAAAACCAACAGACGACCAAAAAGCGGCAATTATTGTGAGCTCGGTCTTACTGGGGGTACTCTTGATCATTGGCGTCATATCAGCTTTCCTGAGACGAAAGCGGAACAAAATGTAAGAAATTTGAACGTCATATCACTTGGGCCATGTGGATAAAGTGTAGATCATCTGAGTGTGTCCTGTTGACTCTCATTTCACAGTGAAGCACTTAGGCGCCAGGAGGAAGGTACCATGCAAGCAAAACCTGGCGAGTTTGGAAGACGTGGGACGGTACTGGTTGGTCGGGGTTTGGAGTCGTCTCATGGTCTTCCTAGCTCTGGAGGCTGGCTCGACAATCGGTCGAGCGAGTTCGGAACAACCGCAAGGACACTGTCTATCTCGTCTTCTTCAACCAGCGCAGATAGTAATGAGGCTGAGTTGAACCCAGCTTGATGTAATAATCGGTTTCGTGAAGAGTTTTGTCTTGGGTACCATGCAATGTTGTAGATAGGAAATCTCGGGAATGTTGGTTGATGGAGGATTGGGTAAATAGTTCCACTTGAAACATGCAGTCAATTTGGCATCAGCAAGATGCTATACAATTTTTTTTCTTCATCTACAATTTCCATTGCCTTTTCTTATTTTCCTTGCGTCTTATTTTCTCTTTCTATTTTTATTCCAATGACATGTATGAAATTTGATGAACCAGAATATTAATAGAAATTGAAAGCAGATTGATAAGTATCACACTTTTAAGTATTTCTTTCCCTATTGGGAAGGTCAAATTCATGATCAAAAAGTGTGAATGAACATCATTTATTTTCATGGTGCATAAATTAGTCTACATTTGAAGCAGATTAAATTGAGATGATCAGACCATCTCCACCCCAGGGCCTAAATTGTGGGACTAAACCAAATTTAGGTCCCTGGACCGGAGTTAGCCCTCCCACTGCAGACCCTAAAGGGTGACCTAAACTGAGAATATCCCTCCCGGGCCCCTATATTAATCCCAGATAGAGGACGCTATACACCTAGGGCACACACCCATGTGGGCCAATACAGGTTTTCACCGTGGATCCCACAAGTGATGCCCGTGGGAGGTCAGAGCAGGATCTGACAGTCCTCAGTATTGCATTGGCTCCACCAATTGGTCCACAGGTGCATACCAAGATTGTCCCGTGGAGCCGACGAAGAAGCTTGCAGGGCCGCAGTTGAAGAATTGGCAGCGGCCCCAAAAAGGAGTGCACGTGGAGTCAAACTCCGGCAGTGGACCCGGGCCAAGCATCCAGGAGGATGCTTGACTGTTGGTCCACATGGAATTGAAGTGTGATCCTCCTTCCAAGATCAGATTGGCTCAGAGTGATTGGTTATTTCCCTCCCACCCCCCCCCCCAAAAAAAAAAGTTTTTTTTTTAAATTTTTTTCAGCACTCAGTTTTCTTGAGCTTTCAGATTGTCAGGTCCCACATTGGTGGGTCCTGGTTGTAAGTGAATTGAGGGTTGGCTGTTGTGGAACCAATGTAGGCAACAAGCCCATGTGCTCCCAACCAAGTTGAAATTGGTTTCGTGGAACCATTGACACAAAAAATGCTTGTTTCATGGAACCAACAACAAAATCCAACCTCACAGGACTTACCAAACATTTACAGAGCCAGTATTGTGGTTTTCACAGATCAGCTTTGATTTGTTGGTTCCACAATCCCGCTTGGCAAGAAGTGCCCCTGGGGTGTAGTACCCCAAATAGCACTTCTTGTCACATATATCACATGTACATCCTGTGAACCTCACCCCCAGTAAGTTTTATTTCATCTTGGAATACATATGTAGTGCATCAACACTGCCTAAATCAACACCACCACCATTGGCACCAGCTTCCAAATTGGTCTGTCTCTGAAGTTGAAGGCACCCAAACTGCTCCATCTGATTCCAATGTTGAGCAACCAATTGGCAAAAAGAAAAAGAAATTAAAGCTTGCTCTCCAGGCTGCTGCAAAGGATGTTGGTTGGGGATCACAAATTGCTTTGTCTCAAAGTAAAATTGCTACTGAATTGCAGTGGCATATCAATATCCTCAAGAATGACTGTGAAAAAATATTTTTGGTAGTCTTTTGCTTAAGGTCACAGGGGGGTTGGGGGATGCCCTTTCACATGCCTAGTTGTTCTATTTTAAGGCTTTGTGGTGGCAGAAGGGACTCAAAGATGCTGCAGTCACACAGGTTTGAAATTTAGGGACTTTGGTAGTCCCCTCTGGTGGAGATGGTCTAACTTTATTAACCCCTCTTTTCAGCAGCGATCCCAGGGATTTTAATTGCCATCTATCATACAAATTTGACAATTTCTCCAATAAGCACCACACATATTGAGATAGCTTGCCATACTACTTTGTCACATGGCTTCCAATCAACAAAACTACAGGCGACTTAATAGAGGATGAATTGGACAGATATGGCGGTGAATTTGTTTTGCCGGGACACAGCAGTATTGAATTTTCTGGATTTAAAGGTGTTGTCAAGTGCCCTTGGAAAGCCATACACCATTTCCATCTCACTGTTCTCTCTACAACTCTGTCAGACGGGGTGATGCCAAGATCGTTGATCTTCTAGCTACACCCATTGATGGGAGTGGTTTGGTATATGGGTCGAAGGAGTGGATAGTTTTAAGGAGGAGGAGGGGCCCAAGTTTTGGGTGTGTTTACAATGCCCTTGGGGTATAAGCTTGTGTTCTTCGCTGATATTGAGCGGGAAGAGTGGACTGCTTGACACAGGTCCTATATGGCTAGGGGTACTAGTCTGTGTGCGGTGGTGGGGGTAGAGGATAGCGAACTCGGTGGGAGATGACTTACTAGGATTACAATTAAGTCCTTCTTGACGTTGGTCCAAGTAATGATTCCGCGACACTCGAGTGCTTGTTCAGACCTAAAGTAACGGCGGTTCCTATAGTACTACGACAAGGTTTGTATGTTGGTCGGTTTAGGGGCTTTAGGTGTTTCTGCGGTTGGGGCAAGTACAAGTGTTTGGAGATGTTAGTTCTTAGTGTTTTGTGGGGTGCTGAGTACAATGAAAAAGATGGAAAAGGGGGACACAGATGCTGATTTCTGCCCTCCTGACCTGTACTTCTATTTCCGGCTTTTATATCCATCGGATCCGTCGTCGATGGCGTATGGGAGCCTGGGTTTATTTCAGAATCCGGAAAAGTTGTTCCTCTAGTCATGAGGTCATGACTAGCTCTGTCAACTTCCGACTTTCCTTTTCTAAGTGTGACATCTGAGAAACAGGATGTCACACTTCTGGGAACAGCGCTGGAGATGACACAGCACATCTAGTACAGTATTCAGCTGCTGTGGAGTCTCTAGCGCTCGCTCAAAATATCTCTTTTTTGACCGTTGACTTATTACTTTATTACTCATCATTAGTTTTAAAGCAATTAAATTTAATTTTAATTATTTCAACAACATTTAATTATTTCACAAACAAAACTGAATTTCTAAGATAAAACTAAATTCAGGTCAGATTGTCCTACTTTACTAGTGACAAGCTGACAAACTCCCACTTCTTCTCCACATGATTGACTTTCCTACTCTGCCCAACTCCCAATCCAAACCAAAAAAGATACTGGAAAAAGTCAAAAAGGGTGATTATAAGAAAGATCCACTCAAGAAACACTGGATGGTTTTTGAAATGGGGACAATCCTTGATAAATCCCAATCATATCCCAAAGCCAAAAGAGAAAAAAACATAAGATAAAAAACCTTTGTCCAAAAAAGAAGATGACAAATGTTTGTCACCAAAGCACCCAAAAAAATTTCAAAGACATTAGCTTATCTGCAACGATTTCCCTTTTATATGCTTTTTTTCAGTCATCCCAAATATTGCATGCCTTTTCCCATTTCACTTTATTCACTTGTCATCATGGTCCTCTGTTATCCTTAATTTCCTTATTTCTTACAACAAAAATCCTCAAACCAAAAAAAAACTCTTTTTTCTTATGTGACTGTCTTCTTGCATTATAAACTTCTCAAGCCAAAAAATTGTCTCAAAATTCACTTATAGTTTTGCTTATTTCTAGGTTGGGCACACAATAGACAGGCTTCCACATAAAAAAACTAATCAATCACTTGTGTGTTTTTGACCTGATGTGACTTACATATGATGAAACTCTTGAGTTAAAAAAGATACTACAAAAACATAACCAGAATGGAAGGCTAGTTAAAAGGTTTTGCAATCCTCTCCATATTTTCCATAGATTTTCCAGAGTCCAAACACTTCACTAACACTTCCATCTTCTTTGATCAATCATCTGCTGTAAGACTCAAAAGTGGTTGTGAGAACCCTTTTGCTGAATGTTGAAGGGTATGGTGGAGTTTTGAGCTCTGCCTTTCTGTACTATCAGATAACAAGACCCACCAAGCTCAGCTTAGCAAGTTTTAAGCAAGTGATAGGGGTGGTTGGTTTGTGAATAAGTTGTTTGATCGCAATATAATAGTATGAGAAAAGAGGTTTTTAGAGTATGAGAGTGAGTTGAGTGTGTATTACAAGTGTAAGTGTTGTTATAGGGTGTTATAAGGGTTGTTACAGTATGTAATGTTAATGGTATGGTATGTAATGGTAGGGGGTATGTAATTGGTGGGTACTAAACTGAGGGGAAAAACAACTGGGAGGAGAGCCTCCTTCAATACACAAAGGTGAGGGATTTTAGCTTCAGGGGAACAAGAGAATGAGAGATTCTAGCTGGCCAGAGCTTTACAATGAGGGGATTTATGTAAAGAATTTCCTAGATTTCAAAGGCTATTTTGTGAGCAGGTTTTACAGCAGGGTGCAGGGAGGATATTTGGGATCCTAATGGTTTAATGAAAGAAGGGTTTTTTTGAAATAAATTCCTTTATACTGTAATTTGAGAATGAAAACAAGATAAATCCCATGGGGGAAGAGAGCGGGTTCAATGAATGAGAACATATTTAAGGTGAAGTTTTTTTTGCAACGCGCGTCCTGGTCTCAAACTCATGGACGCGCCTAACAACATAATATGCAAAACTAGAAGTAGAAATAAACAAAGTATGTCACCAGTTTTAGAAATAATCTCTCCAAAAGTAGAAAATAAAAACAGGATCCGTGGGTCATTCTAATTTATGAAAAGTCTTCAAAAGGAAAAAGAAAGAAGAATAAAAGTTAGAATTGTTTAAAATATTTTTTTTGTTTCTTGTCCTCAGGTCGCCTGTTGTTGACAATTTAGCTAGTCATGACATGTACATGAGGTATTTTGGCTGGTTGAGCAGCCTACATGATGTCATAAGAGTCATTTTAGCCTGAACTAGAAGTCTACATGAGGGTTTTATGCTGGTGTAGCATGCTACATGAGGTGATGCATTAGTCTGCAAACTAAGATGGAGTGATGAAAATTACATGAGTGGTGTGAGATAGTCTGACAGCTGCAAGGAAGAATAACAAATGACATGACAACCTGCATGATGTCACTTGTAAATCCTGAGTGGTTCCAGACCAACACTGCATGTGTCAATATGTCAGAAGATGGTGGAGTGGTGTGTATACTTATGTACTATGCTGGTGAGAGAGTGTAGTTGTCCTGAAATGTGCATATGTATAGTGTGAGATATGTAATTGTTGATGTGTTGGTGTTGATTGAGTGTTGCCATATTGTTGGAGTGTGTAAGTGAGTGGTGTGAGAGTCCAGAGGGTGTAACTTCCAATCCAGTTGAGTTCCAGTGACGCCTCCAGTGGTGACCAAGGGTGAAATTGGGTGTAGAATCCATTTCTTGAGCCATATTGAGTGATTTGTGAGTGTATGTAGAGGAAAAAAGAGGTATAAAAAATAATAAAAAACTTTGAATTTTTACACATTCAGCTACCACACCGCATTTGATTGGCAATCCATTTTCTCCAATTCAAACTTTCAATATTTTTCCTTCTCCTCCTTCTCCATATCCAAATTTTTAACATTGAATGATCCCATCTTTTACCTTCCATGTCTTTAATATGCTCAAACTTTTTTTCTTCCAATTGAAGACTGTTATTTTCATTTTCAATCATCCTGTTGTACTTCAACTTTTCAAATCTGAGATTATCCCAAGCAACCTCAGATTTTCCAAGAAATTGAGGGGAAAGGAAGAATTTTCAATTTACTAGGTTCAGTCACACCTGTCTAAGGGCTTATCCTTCTGTGTGCATAACCTGTATAAGGGCATGGCAAAGGGATTCTCCCAAATCTTAATTTTGCTGCAAATTCATTCCCTGTAAGGGCATAACTGCTTAAAGGCATTCCTCCCAAGGGGTATGCCCTTAGAAATTTTTGACTGTATTTCACAAGTTGAATGTAAGATGAACAACCAGCATCTTGTTTCATTGCATATCCTTCATTGGCCAGAAAAGAGTTGGGAGCAGAAGAGGGGCGACCGTGGCTCTTGGGTTTGATTTTTTTTGAGTTTGATGCTTGGCACTTTCCTTTTTTTGCGCTTGGAGCTGGGCTGTTGGAGGAGTTTTTGTCAGTTGGATTGTCCCATACAAGCTCTTCAGGTGTGCATTGATAAATGCACACCCTCCCCCTTCCGGCCCGCCCACGCCCCCGCCCCTCCAAAAGGGGCGGGAAGTAAGACCCGTCCTTCTTCCTGGGTGGGTTTTGCTACATGCCCCTCTGTTTGCTGAAATTTGCAACAAGAGGGGCGTGCAGTACAACCCGCCCAAAAAAGGGGGGGTTGGCCTGCACGCCTGGTCTGGAAGGCCAGGAGTAATCCCTCCTGGCTATCAAGACTGTACAAATCTTGATGGCTGGGAGGGATTCCGCCCGTTCTTCAAGACTGTACAAGTCTCAAAGGCCAGGAGGAATCCCTCCCAGCCATCAAGACTGTACAAGTCTCTTGATAGCTGGAAGGGGTTCCTCCCAGCTATCAAGACTTGTACAGTCTTGATGGCTGGGGAGGGGGTCCTACCAGCCATGAAGACTTGTAAAGTCTCGATGGCTGGGAGGGGTTCCTCCCAGCCATCAAGACTTGTACAGGTCTCAAAGGCCGGGAGGAAAGAGTCCTTGGCGCGCTGTATTAAGAAAAACAGTCCAGAGTGTTTTTCTTACGTCAGCCAGCTATGACCTCTCACGTGGTTGGTGTGCAATCCCACCTGCCCGTCTCTGAGGGGCGGGTTTGATTGCACACCCCTTGAAAGCCTGATTCCTTGCAAAATCAGGCTTTTGAGGGGTGTGCAATCCCACCCGCCCCTCAGAGACAGATGGATGCAATCACATGCCAGGGCGGGGGTGGGGGCGGGTGGGAGGGGGGAGGATGTGCATTTATCAATGCATTCTTCAGGTTTCAAAACAGCATCCAACCCAGAAGATTTTCTTTTGTGCTTCTTCTTAGCACTCATCTTTTTCTTTGGGGATTTGTCATCAGAATTGCTTAGAGCAGGTGCCTTGCTTGTGGATTTCACATGATTTCTTTTGTTCTTCTTCTTCTTTGGTGACTTTTGCTTGGTGTCATTGGAATCATCTTCACCAGAATTTCTGGGAGCAGTTGCCTTGCTTCTGGATTGCACACAATCACTTTTGTTCTTCTTCTTCTTTGGTGACTTTTTCTTGTTTGGCATAGCTTTTGACTTCAAAGCTGGGTTTTCAAAATCATCACCTGATGGAGAGGGTTCCTGGATGAGAACAATCAAGATAGTCAATAAAGTTGTAGTATTTTTTTCATGACAGAAAAATCCAACTTACACCTGTTGCCCCAGCCTGGACACTTGCCTCTTCATTGGTTGGACATTTCCCAGTTGGAGCTTCCGGTCTCTGTTTTATGGGGTGATATCTTTCCAAATCAGTGATCAGACTTCTTGCAACAAGTGAATCCAATTGACTTACATCTCCTGTAATTTCTTTCTCCGGGGCCAAGATATTAGGGAGTATCAAATATAACCAAATCCACCATTATTCAATTGACTGGTTTGAGAAAATCCACCCTTTTTTAAACATTTTGGTTATTCTATTAACCCCTTTTGGGGGTCATTTATACAAAAACAAGTTTTGGGAAAAGTCACTGGTTTCAAATGGTGGATTTCCTATATTTGATACCCCTTATTAGGGGGTATAAAATATAGTAAATCCACCATCAGAAACAAGTCACTTTTCCAAAAACATTTTTTGCATAAATGGGTCCCAAAAATGGGCTAAATGGATAACCAACATGTTGGGGGATTTTTTCAAACCAGTCAGTTAAATAATGGTGGATTTGGTTATATTATTAGGGGTATCAAATATAGGAAATTCACCATCAGAAACCAGTCACTTTTCCAAAAACTTTTTTTTGAATAAATGGGCCCCAAAAGGGGTTAAATGGATAACCAACATGTTTAAAAAAGGGTGGATTTTTTCAAACCAGTCAATTAAATATTTGTGGATTTGGTTATATTTGATACCCCCTATTTTGACTTGTGAAGTAGCATTCTTCAAAAATGGTTGAATAGCAGTGGACTCCAAACTTTGAGATGAATCAGTCTTGTCCAACTTGTTTGAGGAATTGGATTTATCATCCTCAGAGGACAATTCAGATGAATTTTCTTGATCCTCTGCATCAGCCAAAAACAACGGATTGACGTCAAGCCAGCAACGCTGCCACAGATACGGTATCTGCCCGTATCTGCCATGTATCACTATGTATCTGAGCCCCAATAAAAAAAAACTATCTGACCAATCTGCTTTTATTTGGGGGGGGTGGAATTTCACAACCCTTATTTTACAATGCTTATGCATTGTAAAGGAGGAGGGTTGTAAAATTAACTTACGCTTGGCACAATTCTTAATTTTCCACCCATCTTCCTATTTTTATCTACTTTGTAAATCAACCTTTGGAATATATAGCTTGTTATTTTCTCAAATAGCCCCCAAAAAAGCAATTTCACAGGACAATTTTTCACAATGACATTGCTTGGAAAAGAAACCCCCCGGCAAAAAGCTCATAATGCCCAAAAAGTACAAATTTACAAGGATCCCCTCACAAGGGACCTGATTTTGACTTCACAAGGCTTGTAAAATTCTCATAGTGCCAAGGCATGTGATAATTCCACAAGGGAAAAGATTATTTACAATGGAAAAAAACGCAAGCAAAAGATGAGATAAAGGCATGGAACAAACAGCTACTACAATCTCCTGACCTCCCGTTCAACCCTGCGAAGCTGATTTGCGGGTGCTTGCTCGACTTCCGGCCCGGAATGGCTTGATTATCTTTGATTTTGGAATGCTATCCAATTTCTTCTTTGGTGGCATAACTTCTTTGCTTGTCGGTGGGACTGGTGGTTCTTCATCTTCAATTTTGGCCACAGGGCTTGTTTCCGGGCCCTTCATGATTTTCAAACAAACCTTGAACTCCCCGGACGGCTTTCGTTTGAGATCGTTTGGTTGGATGCCAACAGATGTCGTACAGATGGCTCTTGGTGTTTGACCCAGAGCCCTCTCAAGATTAGAAGCCGCCATTGTTGGTGTCTCTTCCATCGTCAGCGTATCTTCTATTGTCGGAATCTGAATTGATTTGCCAGAGAGGTTGAGGATCATGCGCAGATGGGCAAACGGAACCAGTCCTTGCGCATTTTTGTTGTCACGGCGGATGCTGGCGATGCTCTCGGCTACAAATTTCTCCTCGCTGGAAGTCCACGGTCGAGAGTAAAACACCCAGCTTGTGTGGGGGGCGGCTCCAGCAAGTTGGGTATGATCTGGACTGACCAGCCGAGCAATACCCCCATTTGCTTGATCATCGTGCATCCATACACCTGATATCCCGCCGATGTCCTTGAACATCTTGGTCCAGTAATGGGTGCTGTTCCAGAACCCACGAGAGAAAAGGGTGTAGCCAACCCCGTGGAAATCCAACTTGAAAGGGAAATCCAAACTTGCCATGAATGATTGCTGCCCCGATTCGTCAATGATCAAGGCCGCATGTACCAACATGTATAAGTGTTGGGGTGGCCCCCCGTTATCGACAGATAAGCGAGATTTCTCGATGATGTTGTGAGGATCGGCTTTCTTAACTGACGGGCAGGTCTTGCAGCATAGCCCCGAAACTGATGTAATTCCGTCGGTTGTCCATGCGGTCATCAGGCTTTGAATTGAACTAGTATCTTCTGTTTCAGCTTCAAACATGTCCTTCTGTATCCGCATGACTGCTATGTCTCTGCTCCCGCGAGGATGGGGCTGTGCGGTCAAAGGCTGTTCTTGGCATGTTGCCGTTGTAAGACTCAAAAGTGGTTGTGAGAACCCTTTTGCTGAATGGAGAAGGGTATGGTGGAGTTGCAAACTCTGCCCTTCTATACTATCAGATAACAAGACCCACCAAGCTCAGCTTGGCAAGTTTTAATCAAGTGATAGGGGTGGTTGGCTCGAGAATAAGTTGTTTGATCGAAATTTGGTTGTGTGAGAGAAGAGGTTTTGAGAGTATGAGAGTGAGTTTAGTGTGTATTACAAGTGTAAGGGTTGTTATTGGGTGTTATAAAGGTTGTTACAGTATGTAATGGTAATGGTATGGTATGTAATGGTAGGGGGTATGTGATTTGTGGGTACTAAACTGAGGGGAAAAACAACTGGGAGGAGAGCCTCCTTAAATAAACAAAGGTGAGGGATTTTAGCTTCAGGGGAACAAGAGAATGAGAGATTTTAGCTGGCCAGAGCTTTACAATGAGGGGATTTAGCTAGTCAGGACATGTACATGAGGTATTTTGGCTGGTTGAGCAACCTACATGATGTCATAAGAGTCATTTTAGCCTGAACTAGAAGTCTACATGAGGGTTTTATGCTGGTGTAGCATGCTACATGAGGTGATTGTACTAGTCTGCAAACTAAGATGGGGTGATGAAGATTACATGAGTGGTGTGAGATAGTGTGACAACGTGCAAGGAAGAATAACAAATGACATGACAGCCTGCATGATGT